CTAGGGTTCTGACGTGGGGCTTGTGTCCCCCTCTCCCACCTGCACCCTTGCTTCAGCTGCTGTCTTTCCAGACTGGACAAGTCTCTCTGCATGCCCTCGGCATCTCAGCTGTCATCCCCGAGCCAGCCCTGTGCCACAGAACCAGAAATCCAGATTTCTCTGGGCCCGCAGGGTAGCCTTGGCCCTGTGCAAAGGCAGGCCAGTGTGTCCGGGTTGTGGTCCAGGAAAACTCATCTTGAGATCTCCCAGTAATTCCTCCTGAGGTTCTGCACACCACCCCCGGCAACAGTGCACCTGAAACCTCACTGCGTGTCCTCATCTAGATGACCCTCGACTCAGGCTTCATCAGGAGCATATAAACCAGGAGACCTATTCCGTGCCAAATAGCACACTTGCCCCTAAACTTTGATGTTACTAAGAACTACTGGGAGAATAACAGTGGTATTTCTGAGGATTTGCTACACAGAAGGCAATGTATTGGGTGTTTTTCACGTATTATGTCACTGAATCCTTTCATCAACCCTGTGAGCTAGGTGTTTGTTTGTTTGTTTACTACAGATGCTCTTTCAACAGCTCTCTACTTCATTGATTCAGAGTAATACATGGTCGCCAGCATCTCTGGGCAAGCAGTCAGCCTGGGACCCGCAGCAGGTAAATGGTCTGGCTCCATAGCCCATGCTCCTCACCTCTACAGTCTGGGAGCACAACCTGGGCCCAGACACAAGCCTGGCTCGGCCTCAGATCTAGGCGATGACGTGCAGTGTGGACCCTGGGCAAGTTATTCTTCTATTCTAATCCTTCCTTTCCTCTGGGAAACTGGACTGAATCAGAGGTCACACCTCAGATAATGCCAGGAACTAGGGAGCTAAGGGCAATGCATGAAGCGGGCTGGTGGTAGAAGCCTGCAGGAGGTAGTGGAGAATGTGGAAAACCCGTGTTCTCTAAGTCAAACAGATCTAGGAGGTTGGGCCTCAGGTCTGCTGCAACGGCATCATTTTAGACATTCCATGGGCCCTCTGATTCAGTGTCAAAGAATCTTTCTGAAAATTATATTTTTACATGCTACAACTGAGGCCTAACCGGCTAACACTGGGTGGCTAACCCAGGATAAGAAGACTGTCACAAAGGTTGCTCAGTGCGCAGTCTGTCCTGAGCACTGCACAGTCCTGAGCAGAAGGCAGCAGCCGATGCCTGGGCAGAGGTGACCAACTACACTGTGAGTTTTCTGAGCGAGTGACTTTGAGAGGCCAGTTCTTTAGAGGGACACAGGTCCATCTGTGTCCGCCAATGCATAAGTCCCCCATAACAACTAACTGTGGCCAGAAGGAAAGGTCTCTTGGGGATGGGAAAGCCGGGAATCGGGACAGCAGAGCTGGAACAACAAGGGCCGGGTTGTCAAGAGGCGGCCAGTCCCGACAGGGCTGCTACCCCAGTGACTGTACTGACCCAGAACCGCCAATCCTCCGGGCCTTTGGGGCAGCCTCGCCTGACCCCTCACTTCATAGATGCTGACTAAAGACCTACAACAGGTACAGGCCATGGCAGAAGAAAAAAACCACTGCCAGAAACAAGGCTTCTGATTCTTAACCGGGTGCTCCAGGAGCTCCTGGCTGCTCGGCAGAGGGACCCAGGACCACGGGGACATCCCAGACCTCCAGGACCTCGGTAAGCATCAGGACGTGGCAGACCCGTGGGGGAAAGCCCATCATGTGTTGTCGCCTCTGCTTCCCGACGTCGAGTCGGCGCGCTCTCTGGCAGAGACCATCCTGATCCTATAGGAACACGAGGATTCCGCACCCTCCTTTTTGAGTAGCACAGGACTCCACCAAAAAAAATTTTTTAAGGTTAAGTGATTATATCTGTGATCCTTAAACTTGGAACTGCACGAAAGAACTCCATGGCCCGGCAGCAAAGAATGTTTTGAATAGACTGCTGAATTGTTTTTCCAGGATAAAACTTCTGTGAAAAAGTGCCAAGTGTGGAAATGCAACGTTTCGTCCATGACCACAACGAGCACAGATGAAGTAGCGAGTGTCCCTCTGGGTGAGGGAGGGTGGCCCATCTGTGCGGGAGGCAGGGCTCCTCTAGGCCTCTTGCCCCAGGGCATAAGTTACCTGCTATCATCCCAGAGTAGGTGTAACTGCTGCTGTAACAAATTACCACAAATGTAACAGCTTAAAACAACGCCCACGAATCATCTAACAGTTTGGTAGGTCAGAAGGGCAACTCCATCTCGCTGGCTAAAATCAAGGTGTCAGCAGGGCTGCATTCCCTGCAGGAAGTATGGGAGAAATTCCCGTCTGGGGTCATTCCAGTTGTTGGCATAGTCTACTTCCTTGTGGACAGAAACCTGGGGTCCTGCACCCTCGCTGGCTGTCAGCCAGGGGCCACCCATGAGCTCCTAGAGGTCTACCTCTAGCACTTGCACACAGGGCCCTGCATCTCGGAGCCAGCAAAGGCAGGTTGACTCCTCCTCACACCTGCATTCTCTCTGCCACATCTCTCTTCTGCCTGCAGCCAGAGCAGGGATCTCTGCTTTAAGGGGCTAGTGCGGCTCAGCTGCTTGGGCATCATCCCGCAAAGTAAAAGGTTGCCAGTTTGATTCCTGGTCAGGGCACATGCTCGAGGTGCAGGCCGGTCCCCGGTTCCCCGGTTGGGGTGCGTGTGGGAGGCAGCTGATCAATGTTTCTCTCCCTCTCTTTCTCCCTCTCTTCCTCTCTCTCTAGAAATAAAATAAAATCTAAAGTAGTAGTAGTAGTAATAATAATAATAAACAACGAAGAAGAGTTTGGCAGGTGAATAAAGTGGAAGAGGCATTCCAGGCAGAAAAGAATGGTGCTGCCTGGAAAAACACAAAGGAGTGAAACGAGCCTGTGCTGGGAGAACGCCAAGGGCTCGGTGAGGCCGGGCTGCAGAGGAGGAGAGCAGAGCAGCGGGACGTTAAAGCGGGCTCCGTGTCATGCCAACGGGCTTGTGTTTCAGCTCAGAGTAATGCATAACAAATAGAGGTTTTTAAAACATGCAATCATACAAGCAGTTATGCCTTTTAAAACAGAATTCAGATGGCCAAGGAGAGGGTAGATCGCAAGAGGGTAGAGACTGGAGGGAAGGAAGGCCAGCTGGGCTGTGTAATAAATCGTTCAGGCTAGAGATGAAGGGCTGAAAGAAGGCACAGGCCGCGGTGGGTGAAGTGGGAGTGAGATGCAGAGCAATCAGGGAGATACCAACACCAGGAATCTGTGACAAGCTGCAGGGGTGCAGACTAGATGGGTATCAAGGATGACTGAGAGAATTTCAGCTGGAATGGCTAGGGATGGTTTATAAAGTGAAATTTCCAAAAGCTGAGAACAAAGGAGAACAGTCAAGTTTGTGGCAAGAGATGGAGTTCCGGTTGAAGTATGCTGGGCTTTTCCTATCAGCAAGAACGGGCCTAGACTGTACAGGGAGGAGCCCCAGCTTACTTCACGGATCTCAGAGGAAACAGAAGATTTCAAGTCACTTCCCAGCATGAGTCAGGGAGTTGACATTCAAGAGGAAGTCCGCAGAGAACCACCCACGTTACAGCAGAGAACTGGTCTCTTCAGCATTCCTCTCGGTGGCTCCCAAGGTGCCCGTGAAAACCCAAATTCACAGTCAGGTCATCAGGGTCCACGGTTCCTAGCTGGGACCAAAATTAGGTGATGCTCATTCAGTTCTTAATTCAAAATACTTTATCCTCCATTCCCCATACCCTTACCAGGAGTCGCTCAAGGGTAGACACTGTGCCAGGAACCCAAGGTTAGAGGATAAGGCACTCAACATAGATTTCGTGAATGCCTACCAAGTGCCAAGCCCAGAGATGAAAGGCCCTGGGCTGAGCCCTGTTACTCTGGGGGACGTTACCCTGGACGTTGTTCAAAGAAGAAACCACACAGCTCGAACCGGTGCTTTCTGAAGTATTATGGAAAATGGGAGGGAAGAATATGGCATCAGTTAAGATACACCCAAGGAAGACCGAACAGAGAAGGCAACTGCTTCCAGCCGAAATGGGAGAGGGAGCGTAAGGCAGAGGAGTGAGACACAACACACAGAGCAACCACACTGTGGGCTGGCTCCATACACCACACAGCCACAGACGTCGAAGAACCTTTGTTAGAAGGTTGGTGTTTTTGCCTCGTTCCCAGGTGACATTCCCCAAGCTCCCAGACACTCATAGCATAGCGGCTCATCATAGCTTCCTTATGCATGATTTGATCTAAATCTTTGCAACACGAACTAAATTTCAGGTTGTTTTTCAAAAGTCCACCGTCAGGTCTTTAGTTTTATTCAAACGCATTTCTTTTGAGCCTGGAGACCCTTTCTTCTCTCATTCTCTCCACTGAGAACTTTTTACCACCTAATCCATTTGGTATTTCATAGATACTCTGAGCCTTAGCTGCTGTAAAGCCGTCTGCTAGATGCGGGGGAAGCTGGCTAAAAGCTGAGTGGGGAACTTAGAGCCCATCTGCCACTAAGGCAGGAACAAATGAATGGGTTAATGACAGGTCTCCACTTCCCGGCTACATGTTACAGCAGTGCTCGGAAGTTGCTTGTATATGCATGATTCAGAAATCAGAGGCTTTCCAGTTCTAGGGCAACACCAGAAATGCTTTCACAGGGAAGGCTGCGTTCGAAAGAGACCTCAAATGTATACATGGCAGGTCCTTGGCCTCCTTAAGACACTGTCTTCTATTCACTAGGAAGAGGTTGTTGTTGTTTAAACTTTCATCTTGTGAAATAACTACACAAAACAAAAATGTACAGCTAATAAATTTCCATAACTGCCCAGGCCAATAACAGGCTGGGGGCAGCACCTCCAAGCTCCTCTGATCACTAACCTCCCTGCGCCCAGAGTCGCCGGCGCCTGGAGTTGCATGGTGATCATTCCCTCTATTCTTTACTCCATCTAAGTAGCACCCCTTAGTGCTGGTTTAGCTTTGCCTATTTTTAAAAATATTCTTAATTTTTAGGGTTTTTTTTCTTGATGTTTCCTACACGGTTTGTCTCCTCCGTCACTATCCACAGGACTCTGAGCAGGTGCAGGAATGTGCAGGTGCGGACACAAGGTCCCGCTTTCTCTCCAGTGTTGTGGAAATGGACGGTTCATCGAGGGCCAGAGCCCTGTGCTGCCTTCTGTCACCCAGACAGAGCCAGGGGAGAATGACCTCCCGGGGGCATCCACATGGGAGATCTGCCTGCTTTTTAAACCTGGTGTCGATGGAAGCATACAGACGGTATCCTTTTGCTCTGCCTTTTTTGGTAAGATTCATGCATGTTGCTGAGTATAGCTATACTTTATTCATTTTCATTTTGGTAAAGTATCCTAATGAGAGACTATGTCACCATTTATCTATTGTCAATGGACTTTTAGACTGTTTCTAGTTTGGGGCTATTACAAAATATGATTACGAATATTCTTGGTGCGTATGTATGCATTTCTATTCAGTATGTAGCTAGCAGTGGAATTGCTGGGGTATTGAGTGTGTATATCTTCAATTTTAGGATAATACCAGACTGCTTTCCAAATCAGTTTTCGGACTGTACCAGTGTACGGCCACATCACAGTGCGCGAGTGTCTGCACGCATCACATCCTTGTCAACGTTTGGCATTGTCAGGCATCGTTCACTTTTATTTCAGCCATCCTGATCTCACAGTAATTCAATTTGCATTTCCCCGATTACTCATGAAGTTGCACACCTTTTCCTATGTTTATGAGCCATTTGTTATTCCTCTTTTGTGAAGTTCCTCCGCCCATTTTTCTATTAGGTGGCCCTTTTTCTTTTCTTTTTTTTTCCTCTTATAAGTTTTTTTACACATTCTTTACACATTCTTTTTTACACATTCTTTTACAGGCCCTTTGATGGTTATGTATGTTGCAAAAATACTCTTCTGCGAGGAATTTCAAATGTCCCAATAGTCAACTGAGAAAGAGCTAGGGGGAAACACAATCTCTACCTTTTCTAAGTTATTCAAATAATTGAACTTTAGCCCAAAGCCCCAGACCACGCTTCAGCTTTGAAGGGAGACACATATGGAAAGGAAAAGTCTGAGATCCAAGTCACCAGGTTTAAGCCTCAGCTCAGCCTCTTCCTGAGTGCTGTTAAGGCAAGTCGCGTCAGCTCTCTGAGCCTCAGTGTCCACACGTGAATTGACCCCAATCACCCACTGCACAGTTATTCTGTGCCTAAAAATAGGTTATGTGTAAATGTGCTTTATAACTGCAGTGTTAGTGGTTATTAAATCAGAAGCCATCGGCCACACCGGCTTCCTGGACTGTGCAGACCAGCTTCCTGAGCTGCCCCAGCACTAACAGTAGAAGCAACAGCAGCAACCTTTCAGATCCCAGTTCTCTTCTCACGTCTGAGCCAGAGGACACCTCCATTGCCCATCCCTCTCCCTGTACCATACAGCCCACAGCTGGGAACAGGGCTCCTCCCTGCCTGCCTGGGCAGGAAAACAGGAAGCAGCTCCCACTCTGCCAAGAGGTGGGGCTGACAAGTTCCCTTTTGTAGGTGGGCATCTCTCCAGACCATCAGCCCTCTGAATGCAGGCAAAGCACTGGCCCCCAGCCCGCTGCACCAGGCTGCACCCCACACCCCACCCAGGTCTCCTCCACGAGTTCATGGGATAAGTATGCCAATGGATGGGGAGCATAAATGGGCCCTCATCACAGGCACAGGCAAGGAACCCTTTCAGTGCCCAGGTGGCACTAGGGATCTGCTCTCCTGAGCCACACAGCCACTCCCTACCCTTCCTGAGGTGCAGCAGCATCCTCTCCTGAGCCCCTCGTCACCAGTGCCTGGGCCCCATTCCATTCACAGGGGGCATTCTTTCCAAGGCAGCAGAGGAAGCTCAGAAGAAATGCACACCCTTACTCCGCAGTGTGAAAGCCTGACAGGAGGTTCTCAAATAAGCTAAAATATTTGAGAGCTGGAAGGACCTTCAGAAATCTTTTCCAGCCTCCTCATTTTAAAACAAGACGTTCAGTAGCAGAGCCAGATATTCTCCAGGGGAGGGCTCTCAGTTCCCCTGCACTCATCCTAATATCCCTTACACCCTACTGCAAACGCCAGCCCCTGCACACGGCCACTGCCATTAACCACACCCAGGTGCCCAAGACACTACACCAGTCAGTCTCCCTTCCTGGTAATATCTTCTAGCTCGGAAAGGTCCCACCTGAAGAAGAAAGAAGCCCTGGGAAGGCTAAGATCATGTTTTTGGAATGCTTATAAAGTATTCAATACTTTACAGAAATTTAAATAATTGACCTTCAGCCCACATTTTGTTTCTGGACTCTGCAGGTGTTTTCTTAAGTGGATTCTTCAGCCTAGCTCTCAGGAGCTGGGCAGGGACTTCCTTGGCACCCTGGGTGCACAGGCATGGCACACAGGGCAGAAACCTAGTAAGAATTAATCACTGGAGCAACCAAAGAAGAAAGAGGGAGAATCTCCAAAACGTGCAAAGGAAAAGTACTCTGCAAGAGGGGGCTGCCTCAGTTAGTACCCAAGCTCCCTGTAAATCCTCCAACTGTTTTATGCTCACATGTTTGGCAATCAGGCCACACTGCCTACCTCGTGCAAGGCCCAGAGGCCCAGACGCTGCCCCCAGGAGCTTACAGTCTAGAAGGGAAGCCAAGATGTGGGCTTGCTTGGGTGAATGGAGAGACGCACAGTAGCTAGGGACCCTGCTCACTTGAATACATGATCTAGCAGAAACCAGACTTCAGGGGCGGTCTAGTGGAAGGAGACGTGTGAGTTAAGGCCTGGAAAGGACAGGGACTGGGAAGCCTGCTGTGCCACATCATGCAGGGTCTCTGGGGAGCCAGCAAAGATTCTTGAAAAGAGGGAGTTATGAAAGCAGTGTTGGGCTTTAGAGACAAGCCATCTGGCACCAGGCTATTTAGGGGGCAGGGCGGATGGGATTACAACAACGCAGACAACAAGTAATGAAGGCAGGAACAGTGCGAAGCAAAGGAACAAGAGAAGTGGCATGGAACAGAATGGGACTGAGGGCAAGAGGGAGGGAGGACTCAGAACTGGTGCCAAGAAGATGATGGGGACCAGACACGGGCATTCAGAGACTGAAGAGGCTGAAGAGTGGAGTTTGGGCCGTGTGTGGTTTATCCAGGGGAGATGCCCAATAGGAAGTGGTCGGTTGGGCTAGAAAGTCAGGAGGGAGATGTGGGGAATCGGCGCCATGGAGGTGAGACCAGAAACCATCGGATGGTGCTGAGGGCAGCGGAAGTGGATAGGAGGCAAAAGAGAAGTGGGGTGAGGGCAGTGCCTTGGGGACCCCAACAGTTACTGGGAGGAAGGCGGGAGATAGCCGGAGGGGGTGAGGCAATGACACACAGGGATGGGAAGTGTGTAAGGCTGGGCTCTGGGACTGGTTTTCCTGGGTCTGAGCCTCAGCTCTGTCACTTACTTCAGGACCTTGAGCTAGTTATTAACCCCTCTTCAGCCTCAATTTCCTCGTCTATAAAATAGAGATTATAATTCATAAATTTGTTGCAAGAACTGAAAGGAGTGGTTCATGTAAGGCAGGGCTGTCAAACCCATTTTCACCGGGGGCCACATCAGCCTCGTGGGTGCCTTCGAAGGGCCGAAATAATTTTAGGACTGTATAAATGTAACTACTCCTTAATAGTTAAGGAGTTGAAATTACATTCGGTCCTTGGAAGGCAACCTTGAGGCTGATGTGGCCCCCGGTGAAAATGGGTTTGACAGCCCTGATGTAAGGCCTTCAGCAACTGCACGTAGCAAATGCGGTAAATGTTGGCTATTATGATGAGTATGAATGGGAGGAAACCATGGACCCAGAGAAAGTTGTTGACATCCTTTCTACATTTTCAATACCAACTAAGGGAGCAAGGAGGAGACTGGGTAGCTTTTAGGTAAAAAGCCATCCCTGTACAGCAGGGCTGAGAACCACTGATCCCTCTTAGCCAACCCTTGAACCTGTCAGCTGATGAAATGAAGGCTGATCATCTGCTGAAGATCGTGAATGAGGTGGCGGAAACACCCTGACTTACATGGAGAAGAAGACTTGGCCGTCTGATTTAAAGCCCAGGCTTCTCTTTACTCACTGTGTGATCTTGGCCAAGTCACTTGTTATCTCTCCGTATGAGCTATTAAATGGGTAGAAACATCTAACATGTTTCTAGCACCCAGCAGCCCCTTAATAAATATCTGTTTCTGTCTCTTCTTCTGTAGAACCCAAATCTTTTGGCCCTTCCAAACATGTGATTCACTGGGATTCTGTACTCTGTGCTGGGCTCCACCTGAAGAGACTGTTACTTTCTAAAGGCTCCTTTGTGTTTCCAGAGCCCCAGCCTCTCCCCTCTGATCCCAGCATTCACCTGCCACAGAGCAGAGCTGCTGCAATTTCAGTGTGCACAGGACCACTGGGACTGGCTGAAATGCAGGCACAGATTCAGCAGGTCCTGCTCTGGTCAGGACTCAGGTGAGGCTGGGGCTGTAGGTCCTCTGTCCTTGACATAGACGAGCTCCTTGGGGCTGGTCCACACCCCACCCCCTGAGCTCCTCGGGGCTGGTCTCCTTTGTCATACTCATCTCCCTGTCCCTTCCATGGTATGCACTCACTAAATGGATGTTGAAGAAAACAGACAAACCATAGAGAAAACTACTTTCTGGCTAAGTAAATACAGACAGGGCATTTTGTTTGTGAGTCGCAGCCCATCTAGTTCACTTCAAATCACCCTCTTGAATTGGCGATGTGAGGACAGTGTGGTGGAGGGGGCCTGAGACCTGGAACCTGGAATCCTGGGTCTGAATTCCAGCCCTGTTATTCACCAACCACTAGCCTGAGGTAAGCAACCAAGCTCTCATCCATAAAGTGAGGGAGATGTTACCTAACCACAATGTAGCCCAGTGATGGCTAAAACGCACTTTACAAAGTGCTCCAGGCAAGGGGTTACTATTACAGCAGCTATTTAGAGAGCAAGACCAACTTTTCACTTCCTTAGAGCCCGAAGATTGCTTGTGATGGACCGGATGGAGGACACACCGGGGGTCTAGTTGGAGATGGGGCCGTGGCAGGTGGGTCTGGGGTCCCCACTTTGGCAGGAACAGGGACAGTGTGGAGTGTGAGGGTGACGCCGGGAGAACAGAGGAGGGAAGGCTTCCTGGAAGAGGCTGGCAGAAGTGAGGAAACAAGGATGGTCTGAGGGCTCCACCAGGACACTGGCCTGACCAGAAGGAAGGCAGAGAAATCAGAACCCTCTGATGGGCACAGGGCAGGCTCCTGACTGAGAATGTAGGAGGCAAGGCTGAACCAGGAGGAAAACTTGGAGGGAAACAGAGCAAGTAGCTTCAGTTGTCCTCTGTAGTCCACAGCTGACTAACCCAACCAGGCCAGGGCTTCTCCCCTGGAGCTAACCGGTCATTTTCTATGCTCGACTATAACCAGCTCACCACTGACACAAGACTCGGGCATCTGAGGACACAGGCAAAAACAAGACACAGTCCTGTCTCAGGAAGCTCATAGGTAATGGATGGCGCCAGAGAAAAGGTGACAGTAGGCAGCAGGTAGGAGTGGCCAATTCTGCTTCTGTCTCCACCCCTGTCAATCCGTGCCATCCACACTCACCTCCAGGTGTTTCCTGATGCCATTCCCATTCCTGGAATCCTCTCCCCTCCACCCAGCAAGTGCTAACTCATGCTGAAAGGGGTTCAGTCCTGGGTGAGGGCTGCTATCCCTCCCCACTCCCCACAGCCTGTACTTTATGTACACATTCTTGGTAATTACTGCATTACCTAGTAACACTTCTGTCCCTCTACTGAAGTGTTAATCACAAACTTCACGATTACTTACACTGTGCTTTCTTATGTCTTATCTCCCCAGTTAGACTGTATATATAGCAATAATCACTGAAATTGTGCTCCACAGTTTACGAAATACCTTGACACATATCCTTTAAATTAATCCCCACAAGCATTGTCTTTATTTTACAATAAAGAAACGGAGGCTTAGAAAGGACAATTTGCCTCAGGCCACACAGCCTATCCACAGGCCCAGCCATAAAATGCAAACCTCTTCTAGCCCCAATGCCAGTGCTCTGCCCAGTAGTCCAGTAGTCAAAGGCAACTTTCAGCTGTGTGACCTTGGGAAGGTTACTTAACCTCTCTGGGCCTCCATTTCCTCCAGGAAAATGGGGCTGATACCCTACCTAATAGGTGCTTGTAAAGCTTAAAGATAATACAATGAAGTACTTAGAACAGTGCCAAACACTATTTACAATTATCACTATACCTTGGCTGATTCTCACAGTCTCTTAACTCATTTAAAATATTTTTCTAACTTATTTTTATGTATCATAATATATTTGATAGGTAGTCATTAAACAAAATAAATTTTTGCAGACTGACTAATGCGAAGTTTTAGGATTGCTTTCTTTTTTTCACTCTCCTAACCCCCAATAGAAAAACGCCCTTTTCCTGAGCCAGACTACCCCCTCATTCCCCACTACCCCCAACTGTAGGTCAAATTTAGCCAATTACAAGTGTTTCACAGGATAATCTAGACTCCCCATTGGGCTGTCCCTGGATAGTGAGGGAACATGCCAGTCATAGGTGGAAACTTTCACAAACCTAATTTCTATCACTCTAATGGGTCAAAGTTTTCTTTATTGCTCCAATTTTTACTTACTTGAGACTGGAGAAGGCATGGAGTATCATAAAATAACACCTATTTATTTTCCTTTTCCATCTAAAAAAAAGGAGAAGAATATTCACACTGTTTCCTGGGGCAAAAAGCCTCAAGTGACCAGGCAACTAGTAGAGGCAGACAGACGGGCACGGAAACTGCCTTCTTTTCAGCAGTCCAGTCCACAAAGCCAGAGAACAAGCCTTGAACCCAGCTGGACCCTGAGAGGCAAAAGTGAAAGGCCACCTCTCCCATCCCGCCTGAGGTAGGAAGACCCAAGAAGAGGACACGCCCTACTTTTACATCATCCAGACATAACTGCAAAGGGCCAGAGGTGGCTGGGAAGGGAAGAGAATGAAGTGCCCGGGGTGCAAAGCTTTATTCTTTGCAAGATTCCATATATAGAACACTTAGTCAGGCCCTCGCAATCTTTGCTATCTAAAAGTTTGGGGTGGGGGGAGCAAAACAGAGCAGGGAAACCAGTCCTCTGGCAGTGGAGGCCCAGCTGGATCTTCAAAGGTTCCACTCTGAGAGGAGGAGTGAAGAACCAATCTGCCTGAACAATTTTGGCACTGGGATTAAAAGTACTGCACCCTTTGAAATGGATATTGCATACAAACGAGCTGATGAACATTATGAACATGTCAGCTTAGTTCAGTCAAATCAATACACCAGGCATTAAAACGCTAGGTAAAAATGGATTGTGGCTTTTTGTTGATGACACAGAGGAATTTTGGCTCCCAGCCCTGGTCAGGCTGGACAAATAGGGCAGTCTGCCTATTAGCTGTCAGGCACATCTTGGGGGATGAAATCCGGACCCCAAGTTAGGGCACCGCTGAGTAGGCTAGCTCATCCTACCAGCATTGGATTGTCGGGCCAAGCATATCCATTGCTGCCCCTGGACGCCCCCCCCCCACCCCCAGCCCCCAGTTATTTTCCAAGCTGGGCAACACTTCGCATTTCCTACATTCCTTCTCACCGCTCAAACCCCTCTGGCCCAGCCTCCGAGGGCCGACAGCTGGGGGTGGTGTGAGCTAACCAGGAGGCACCAGGAAGGGGGTAATAGGCGAGGGGGGAGTGTCGATGCAAACTGAGAAAAGATCGACGGGGGAGGAAAGGGCTCCGACCCCTTCACATCCGCGACCTTTCACATCCCCAGCCCAGCGCCCCACTCTTCGCCACCACACTCACGCCCCAAAGTGGCTCTCCGACGCACTCCCCCTGCCTAAGGGCACTTCCATTCTGTCACTTTTCGGTTCTTCCCCCGGACACCGCCCCCGTTATCCCGCCGGGACCCGCTCCCGTCAGCCGCGCCGCACGGATCCCGCTAGCTCCTCGGAGCCGCCCTGCCTTTCTCCCAGGCCAGCTGGGATGCCCGGGTCCCCGACCTTTTCAGGTCGCCCAGACCTGCGCACGAGATGCCCCCTCTAGCGGTCCCTTTGCCCCGTCCTACACTCGGCTTGCAAGACACCTACTCCCTTCAAAGCCCCTCCGGCACACCGCGTCTCACCGGATGCCCCAGCCCCGGGTGCTCCGGGTGTCCCCAGGTCCTCACCTGAGTCCGCTCAAAGCTCTCGCGCTCCGCCGCCTCCATCCCCGCGCCGACGCCGCGCCGGCTCAGCACTTTGGGAAGGGGATTGGGCACCTGCTTCATGGAGCTGGCCATCCGGTCCATGTCGCCTGGCGGAGCCGAGTCCGGGGCCCTCGGCCGCGCCGGGATCCCCTCGGCGCTGTCCGCCCCGCCCGCCCCGCTGGGATCCGGCGCTAACGGGACGGCTGACGCCTCTCATTGGCTGGGAGCGCTGCTACTCTCCCGAGGCCCCGCCCCCCCAGAGGCTGCCCTGCCCGCACTCCGTCCCTCCGAAGCCCCGGGCCCGTCCCGCCCGGCTGAGCCCTCCCGACCGCCCGGCGTGCGGTGACCGGCCCGCAGGCTTGTCCATCATTGGGTCCCACCGCCCCCGGCGGGGGCGGGGCCTGGGGAAGGCCCTGGCCCGCCCTCTCCCGCCACGCCCCCGACGCCGGTGCACCGCCCGCCTCGCCGCGCTCCCCCGCCCCAGTCCGTGCATTTTCCCCACGGGTCGCGTTTTCCTTCGGCCCGGGCTCAGCGAGGTCTCCGCGTGGTGGGTAGAGGTCATTCTGGCCGGGAGTCGGCCCTCCCGCGGGGACTTCTGACCCCCCTGGAATACCCCGTTTACTACTTTTTGGCCGGGGACCTGAGAGCGCGGGATGGGCGGCCTGGCGGCTGCAACCCCCAGGCCCGGATCCCGCTGGATGGGTCTGCATCTGCCAGGCCTGGCCGCCGTGGGTGGCAGTCTCCACCCAGTTCCCTCAGCTTCCTTCCTTTTCTTGACCCGGTCCTGAATCCCTGCCAGTCTTCTCTGTGATGATTGCAGCCCCGGAGAGCGCTGGGCTGGGTCCGTTGGAACGTCCGCACCCTCTTTCCAAATCGTTCCTCATCTGGACCGACCACAGTATTCGTTGGTAGAACCCCTGTGGACACTTTGTTTATCCTTGGCTCTGGGCTGCCCCTGCCATTCTCAGACATCAGCTAAGGTACCGACGGGCAGAAGGAAGTGTGGTGTTTAACGGAGATGCTGAAGAAAGTGAGAGAAGTTTTCCATAAATTTTGGTGTTGGGGCGAAGCTTTGAAGCTCAAAGCAAAGAAAGGCATTAACATTTTTTAACTAAAAATTTTTTTTTAATAGAAAAAATTTAGCTAAGAACTTTTGAAAATGTCAACGTAAGAAACATTCAAAACCTGTAGAGAATTTTTGGTGAGTTAATTTGGGTGAAACTGACAACAGTTGCTGGGAAGCCATAACTCAACAGATTGAGAAATGTTCTGGAGAATGGCAGTTTATCACCTTATTTTATACATTAGAATCAAAGGAGGAGCCAGAAGGGTGTTACAGGAAATCCATTAGTGATAGATTAGGGGGGCAGGAGAAAGTGGGAGGTGGGGGCTCGGATTGAGTAAAAGATGAAATAATAGACAGTTCTTTTACATAAATGGGTAAAGGATAGTTAACAGTTAACATGATAACAATAACAATGAGGGGATTTGTGGCCTCAGCTTGTGCTCTAGGTGTTGGGGAAACAGGAATTCTACCTTGCCATTCCAAAGATATATTATCATAGATGCAAAAGATGGTAGACAGGCTTAGTTAAAGTAAAGATTGACCTTCTTTAGGGAAAAATACTGGCCTAGGACAAAACTACCCACCAGAAATTGCTTTTAATTAGTATTTTAACTTTAGACCATCCTTTGTGGTTTCTTTAGGTCTCTGAGTTTGTAAGGCTGCCTCGAAGGCATCCCCTGAGCTTGTCAGGTGGCCCCAATTCTTCCACAATGAAAATTTACACATTGGGTAGAGAAGTGAGAGAGTGGGCAGGCCTTCCCGGGCATGAGGACACCACTGAAGGCTCTTGCTCAGACCTGTGCTTGGTGCCAGACCTTTGCCAGGCTGGCATTGTGCGAATGGGATCTTGGCAGGAGAGGGAAGGGAGGGAACGAACTGATGGGGAGACTCTGACAATAGCAGAGAGACAGTGAGGCCCTGCCCTAGAATGGAGAGGAGAAAGTCTTGTCCTGTGGAGGTTAGTGTATAGGCTTGGACAAAGGAAATGCTGAAAGGGAGGAGGCGGTGGTGGGGCCAGAATTTCTGTAGAGTAAGGGTTTAAGAATGGCTATGAGTTGGAGGGGAATTGCCTCGAGGCTCTGTTTGCATAGCAAGCACAAAGGTTTCACCTTTTTAAAAACTGTGCTTACGTGGGAGGCTTTGGGGTGGCTCCCCTTGGGTTCCTCTGGGAAGAGGTTCACTGTCACCTGGTTTTCAGGCTTTGCGTCTGGGCGTATGGAGATGACACTGAGTAGAGGAGCATGGTAGTAGCATGCTGGGTGATGAAGAGGAGATGACTTCATCTCTATGCAAAGCAATGTCAACACAGACTTGGCCAGTAAGCAGAGTGTGCTTTTACACACTCTGATGTGTGAAAGCAGAGGAGCCTTGGGAGGAAGAATTGAAGAAATAGAAGAAGCACCAAGGCCAAGAGGGTAGGTGTTATCAGTAAATCGTACCCCATTAGGAGATAAAGACAATAGATGAGTATCCCGTTTGAGGTTGTTTGGGGGTTGTGAAGACAGATCAGTCAGAGCTACAGAAGAAAAGGGATCACACCCTGGAAGGGCTGATTGAAAGCTGAGAAAGAAACTTATACAAAGGTGTAACCTAGAATAAGAGAATGGGCCAAGGAGGGTGGGGCACTCAGGGACTGGAACAGTGGAAGCTGTTATCAGCCCGTACCTGAAGGGGAGAGGCAGGGGAGCTACACTGGAACCAGTTAGACGCTCTAGTCACAGGAGAGGAGGCTCCTGACAACAGCCGTGGCCTTAGGTAGAACACCAGTCGCTGGGAGATCCCACTCTCTGTTTTTCATTCCCATCCTCTGATTTCCTAGTAGTGCCTCCCACTGGCCACACCCAGCTGAAAGCCAGAGGCAAGGGTGATAACGCAGTATTGGCCCCACCCCTCCTTCTACACACAGAGCAGAGTGGAGAAGAGTGAACACTAGATCTAGGGGAGAGTGGGCAGGGGGAGTCCCAGCCCAGGAGACTCACAGGAATATGCCTACAAGGAAAACAGACAAGATAATATTACCTCTGTGTGCCGGTTCTTAGTCCTGCACCCACCCCAGGTTCTGGACCCAGGTAGAGAGTGATTTACAACCCTATGCCCAGAGTTTATGCTTCAATAAAAAGGTCCCTTTAAACAGGGATTAAGGGGTCTGCTTTTACTTCCTGTTAGAATAAACCAGAATAGGAATTAGGAGTTTGTGGTTTAGAGGCACCCTGTAGAAAAGACTCAATTGAGTTACCTTCCTCTGTGAAACTCAGAGTGAGTTAAAAATAAGGCTATCTCACTGGCCCCCGCAGCAAACCATTTGCCAAGGTTTGAGGGAACCTATCCTCCAGCACGTGAACGACAGGGCATGACTAGTTTCCTTTAGCTCTTACTGTCTCCCAGCATTTGGAACCCCTTGTTTTATACCTTCTAGGGATGCCAGATTTGGGGCATGGAATCCTAATCTCTGGGAAACTGAAAGGGGGATGCATGTGATTATCTGCCTCTCTGTAGCTGGTGAAATATGTCCCACCCCAGACCTAGTTTGGATCTGATTTAGTGTCTGGTATGACGTTATATAAACTGAGCACACTATTCTTATAGGTTCCTGGAGCCCAGAGTATACATGTTTTCATAGTTTGAATGAGATATCATTAATACACATTAAACTGCACATATTTAAAGTATATAATATGATTTTGACATCTGTGTACACCCATAAAACCATAACCACCCTCCAGCTAATGAACATATTCACTACCCCCAAATGCCCTTTTGTAATTCATTCTTACTTCCTCTCAAACCCCTCTGCCTAGGCAACTACTGGTCTGCTCCCTCCTGCCATGCATTAGTTGCACTTTCTAAAATTTTATATAAATGGAATCATATAGGATATATTCTTTTTTTGTTTGGCTTTTTCCACAAAGAATAGTTATTTTGAAATGTATATCTTTTTCACTGTATCTGTTATATCTTTTTATATCTGTTGCCATTGTATCTTTAATTGTTGTATAGTATTCCAGTGTATGGATAGTCCACAATTTATTTATACATTAATCTGCTGATAGATATTTGGATTCTTTCCAGTTTTTGACTATTACAAAAGAGTTTCTATGAACAGTTGTGCACAAGTCTTTGTGTGAACATATGCTTTCATTTCTCTTGGATGAATACCTTTTATGGTAGATGTATATGTTTAACTTTTTAAAATTGCCAAATTACTTTCCAAAAAGGTTGTGCCATTTTACATTTCTACCATCAGCGTATGAGAGTTCTAATTGCTTCACATCCTGTCAACACGTGGTATGGTCAGTCTTTTAATTTTAACCATTCGAATGAGTATGTAGTAGATTTCACTGGTATTGAAATTTGCATTTCCCCAATTACTAATGATGTTGGTTGCCTTTTCAGGTGCTTATTTGACATCTGTATATTCTTTCTGGCAAAATGGTTTATTTTCAAAAGATTTTATTTATTTATAGAAGAAGGGGAAGGGAGGGAGAAAGGGGGAGAAACATCAATGTGTGGTTGCCTCTCGTGTGCCCCCCCACCCCACCGCAAACTGGGGACCTAGCCGGCAACCCAGGCATGTGCCTGACTGGGAATCAAACCAGCAATTCTTTGGTTTGTAGTCTAGCACTCAATCTGCTGAGCTGCACAAGCCAGGGCTTTGGTAAAGTGTTTATTTAAACCTTTTGCACATTAAAAAAAGATTATATTGAAATAATAATAGACTTACAGAAGAATTGCAAAATACTACAGAGTTTCTACATACCCTTCACCTATCTTCTTCTTATGCAACCTTATGTTAACATCATCTGACATAACCGTGGTACAATTATTTTTTTTTAATATTTTATTATTTATTTATCTTTAGAGGGGAAGTGGGGGAAGGAGAGAGGGAGAGAAACATCAATGTATGGTTGCCTTTTTGTCCCTGCTGGGAACTGCTGCAGGCATGTGCCCTGACTGGGAATCGCCGATCCGGCGCTCAATCCACTGAGCTACACCAGCCAGGGCTCAACTACAGACTTTATCTGGCTTTCACCATCTACTAATGTCCTTATTCCGCCCCAGGATCCGATCTAAAACTGCACATTGTCTGAAGTTGTCATGTTTTCTTAGTCTCCTCCAATCTGTGG